GAGGTGAGAGAGGGGGCTCCTTCCTTCCCAAATCGCAGGTCCATCATGAAGGAGCTTTGGTGAGGAGCGCCTTTTACTTTCAGATGGGGCTGGCTGAACCCTTCGCACTGCTCACATTCAAAGTAAAAAATATCTGCATAGACATCAGCCGTAGAGAAGGCATTAAAGAAGTCAAGTCTAAATAAGGATTTCAAGATTTTGCCTTTTAATCTCATAGATCCTTACAGGAAATTAGTTGCTCTAAAGTGCCTTCATCTGTTATTAATATCTGGACATTTCTGGAGTAGAGACTGTGCATTGAATATTTGCCCATCAGCTCTATGAGATTGTAAGGAGGAAAAAACAAACAAAAAAAAAACAAGAAAGAAGATCTTCTGTAAGCACATACACTTTATAGCTTCCTTTAATGTAGGTAATTTGGGCCAGCAGCTGCAATCTTCAGTGGTTGGAAACAGTACAAATTTTAACACTGTCTACAAAAACATCTTTGGCAAGGAAATGTCTTTGTCAGCAAAAAAATAACACTCGTGTTTGAATGTTTTCGCAGTCTTGAGATAACGTACCCTTCCTTTGAGAGGCATTCCCTTTTAGAAGTTGAGTGCACACACTGGAGTTTACATGACAGGCCTGTAAATAGTGCCGCAGACAACAGTGTTGGGTTTCAGGAGATACCTTTACAGTGCTTGATAAGTGGCGGAGCACTTCGGACAGTTTGGGTTATTGCTGAAATCCTTAAAATGCCCTGGGCAGAAGCACGGGAGACGTGTTCCTCAAGGCCCGCAGAACAGGCAGCTACATGTGCCCTTACAGCGGCGGTGGCAGCGTGCAGCTTCATCTTTCCCTTTATCAGGCAAAACTTTTAATGCTAACTGGGCCTAATTCTTCAAATGTGTGGAAACAGTGTTTGCCACTGAGGTCTGGGGAAGCCTGGCTGGCCTGTAAACGGAGGTGCTCCTCTGCAAGGGGTGCTGGAGCCAGCCTTTGGTGAGCCTGACAAAATTGTCGACAGAGTTGGTACACACAGCCTATTGCTGGTCACTGTCATAAAAAGGTATTTCATGGTGTTCTTCACTTCTGAAGAGGAAACGCCCAGTTACAAACCTATTGTATTTAGAGTTAAGTTTCCATTTTGATTCTTAGAATAGCGCAGTGCTCTGCTGTGAATGGAAGCCTGTCCTTTGATGAGTTCTGAATGCAGGAGTGGCTGGCAACAAATGGCAAAGACCTTGGTTAGCTTGAGGACCGGGCAACAGAAAGCTCATGAAGCTCAGGAAGAAGCGCAGGGTTTCCCCTGTCTCAGTACAGACTGGGAAACACCTGGCTGGGAGCAGCTCTGCTAAGAAGGACCTGAGGTTTACAGCAGATGCCAGGGTGAATATGGGCCAGTGAGGCACTTGCATCTTGAATAAAGCAAACGGCCCACTGGGCTACGCCGGGGGATTAATGGCCAGGAGATGGAGGGAAGGTATTTCCCATTACTCATGCTGGTGAGTAGTACCACTGATTCATGCTCAATGCCCACTGGTATCCATTTTAATGGCACGTTTTGTGTCATTAGTAAATGGGTGAAGAAGAAAAGGAGAATTGGGGAGATGATGTGGCATTCTTGTTTCAGCCTTGCTACGGGCAAGACTAGCTATGGTCCCAATGCACAGTTACATGAACATCAGTACTACGCTTACAACTTTACTGCTTAGTTAGCATCCTATAGCATCACAAATAGGCAATGCAGTTCAAATTTTGACCTTTGCATTTCGTACTCCAATTTTCTTCAACTTCGGTTGTTCCAGCCATCAAGGCTATGCCTTTGTGGTGGCTATGCCCTTGTGGTAGCTTCATCCTGCTCTGCAATGACTGTTATCACTGTTCCACACTTTGGGTTGCCCTACGGGGTAGTGTCAGCATGGAAACTGGGTTTCTTTCAGGTGAAACTCAACAAGACAATCTCTCCAGCAGTGGTCCCCCTGTGCTCCAGATGCTAATCAGGGTTCAGTGCATGGAGCCACACAAGAGCTGGTCAGAAGCAACCCTCCACCTACAGTGTGGATATTGGGTCCTGAGCACCAACTGTTTCATCAGCCATTCCTTCTCCCCTTATTCAGTTCCTCATTCACTTTATACTAATCCCTAACTAATAACTAATTAGTGCCTGTATGTTTCTATATCAAATGCTTAATGAAGTCTAAATAGATTATAGCCACTGCATTTCCTTTGTCCATAAAACCAGCCATTATCCAAGAAAGATAAGTCACTCGGGGGATATCTATTTTCGTACGTCCATTCTGCATTTTATCTCATGTGGCATTTACTTCCATTTTCTTAGTGAACCTTTCCTTTAAAACATTGCTGAAGTCTTGCAAACTACCGAGACTGGACTATTAACCCTCTGGTTGTCAGCATAACTTTTTCACTGCCTCCTTTAATTTAATTTAAATAAATTGAATTTAAATAAACATTTTCAGTTCTCAGATAATATAATACAATACCACTCTCAGCTTGAAAGACTATTAGAAGCATCTCTTCCTGCCTTGCAATTGCATAGACCCATTCTTTCAGAATTCAGGAATCCAACAGGGACATAATCATGTCTATGTGAGATAAAATAGTTTGAAGACATTTACTGAGTAAGTTCACAAAAGGTTTGCCTTGCCTTTCTGAAACAGCATTAAGTTTCTATCTATAGCTTCTAAAGAAGATTACTGGAAGAGGTAACTCAGACATCAAACCCATTTCCTGAGGCTTTGGTCCACTGATTTGAAGCATAGGCATTCTGCAGAAAAAATAAGATTATACCTTCAGTGATGTCTACTTGCCTATATTGGGTACTGGAATAAATAGGGAGCTGGACAAAGAAGCATCTCCAACTCTGCTAGGACTGAAATTGGACTAAACCAGCAGCAAGCTCGTGCGCTGGGTGCTGAACGTGGCCAAAAGAATGACTGCTGTCTGGGACGAACACTGGAGGGCTGTGAATTTTGAAGAGCTAGGAGGAATGTCAGGCTACTCTTCTCTGTTATTCAGTCAGTTATTTAATGCCGATATTACAGTTTTATATTTGCACCAGTTTCAGTAGTGATATATTTGTATGTATAGGTAGTTCTTTCTTGTGTAGGTAGCAATAAAGAATTGATATTAGAAATGCAGGCAATACTGAACGCCTTCTCCATCGATCTGCAGAGCTTCCAAATCTTGAAGACAGGAAAGACACAACAGAAGAAGATATGATTGTGTCACGTTGGTATCTTTTCTGAATTCCCGTGCAGGAAAAAAAAAAAAGAAAAAGAAAAAAAAAGCAAAAAAAATTAATGCATATACATGGCAGGACTGTACTGAGCACAAATACATAGAATAAGTTATAACGCATTTTAATATACGTGAAAAAGGGGTCACGTGGAAGAAACAAAAGATGTTAGCTAGTTAAGGCATTACAAATGGGATAAGACATTTTGTCTATTAGAGATTGATTTGTACCGCACAAAGTAATTAAAGCACCAAAGCTGGTACTGATGGAAGTC